GCAAGTTTTCCGGATTCAACTCCTCCCGTTAGCGAAAAAACACCCGGTCTTGACCTTAAGGGAAGCCTCAGTCTTGGAAGGGGGAACACTGACCCTGGGGCCGGATTTTATTCGGGCTGAAGATGAGGATACCCCCGATTCTGCGTTGAGGTTTGAAATCGTGACGAGACCCCGGCATGGGGACCTCGTGATGAACGGATCTATGATTTCGAATGGGATTTTCCACATGAGCGATCTGGAAGCCGGAACTTTGACTTATCGACACGACGGCGGAGAATCCATGTCAGACGCCTTCGAGTTCATCCTCGTCGATGAATCCAGATCGGATTCGAATGAAGTCTACGTCTATCCCAATCTCATGGACCTCAGTGAAGGAACTCATTGGTTCGAGATGGAAATCATCCCCGTGGATGATCTGGCACCGAGGGTGGAAGTCAATGAAGAGGCCTTCCACGTAATTCATCTCGAAGATGGGACTCCTGTCATTCCTTTGACAAGTCAGGTGTTGTCCGTCCATGACCCTGACACGTCACCCGATCAAGTCATCTTCGTCGTCACTTCCCCTCCTCGCTTCGGCCTCCTGAAAAATATCGACGAGAAACTGGACTCCATCGAGAACTTCACGCAAGGTAAGTCCCAACACTTCGAAGACTCCCCCGGGAAGATAGGAATCGACTTTTTCTCGCAGCGGAAAGCAGCCGTAAAGCAATGCATCTCTCGTGAAATGCGGGCCAAAGGTCGAGGGCTGACTGACCCTCTAATTATCCAATATCCCAAGGATGTGCAACGTCTGGGTCTCAATCTCATTAATTGCAAGAAGGAAAAAAATGTGAAATTTATAGGGCTGAGTTGAGTCGAGTCAATTTACAAAAATGGGAGCACCGCCCGCTTTCGAAAATCCCAGGCTTATGAATGAGGGGAATTATGACGGTTGCGTGAAGAGAGCAGAGGGTGATCTGATAAAACGAGGCTCTGAAATATTGCCACTTGTAAATGGTTATGCTTTAGAGGGGCGTGATAGCATCGAGATTTATGAATGGAGTCGGACCGCCCGAAATCTTGTTTCCTCCGTCTGTGGGAAACTTGACCTCCTCTGCTTTTGCATGCCGGCAATGTGCAGTGCAATCTGTGCGTGTTATGTTCTGCGTTAGTGTTATCGGTACGTTTCATCTGGAGCGCGGTTCCTCTGCCCACGTCATCGTGCCGTACATGCAGGCCCCTATTCCCCTCGAGGCGAGAGGAAAGAGATCAGTCTCATTCAGATAATTTCCTTTAATAAAGGCATCACATTTGAGAAGGGTTTGGCACTGTATGCATGAGGAAAGAAAAGAAAAGAAAAGAGAAAGTAGGTAGATGGATCTACTTAGTAATGCTGCCCTTTTTTGGCATCGCCCCCCGACCGAGTCATCGCAATTCATCAGAAGAGGAATCACACGGAATCATACCCTTTTTGATGTGAAAGTCATCCTTGTATTCCACGCACAAAAGTCGCTCCTCTCCAAAGACTTTTTTTTCCGTGAAGGCTCTACCCTAAAGGATGCATGCCTGAAGGGAAGCACGCGCTTCATTTGTCAGCCACCCGCCCCCGCCGCATATCCCTCCAAGTGTTCTTCTACTTTCCTGTTCTTATGATTGCCTTGTCTCTTCGCTTCCGCTTCGGGAAGAAGACATTTTCTGTCGCAGATGGTAATTCGCCCCCTAATGAGGGCCACTGTTATTTTCGAATGAGGCGTGACTCATCGCATTCTCGGTCACGAGGGTTCGGAGGTCAACAATTCACTCAGACAATACCCCTAATTCAAAAAACCTCTTCCAGAAAATTCAGATCATGGTTTACGACTACTCCTTTATTTAGAAAGAGCATCACGCGAGGAATCGTTAATGAGCTTCGAAATCCAGGATTTCGTGCATGTGCCGATGATATTTGGGCATAGAGGGAGGGATGTTTTCGGCACCGTGTCTCCGAAGATCCGTTTTTGGCCTAGTTTCCACGCTATATCTCGGCAAGGAAGGGAGGAAGGAAGGAATGTTTCCTCGATCTTCCCCTTTTTGGGGACGTTTACTTCCCGAGACGTCGTCGCAGACGGAGCTCTGGCGCGAACAGGCCCTGTTCCCACTTATCCCCTCCCCCCCCTCCAAAACCTGTCACTTTTCTTCTTCCCTATCTCTTCCAATATTCCCTCTTTCGTCCTCCCCTTTTCTTCCCTTCTGCCTTATTTGAGCATTGTTATCTCCCCACACGTGTGGGCTGATCAATCTCCGAATGCCAAGCATGGACGCGTTTCTTTCTTTAGCGTGGGTTTCAAGAGTCTTCTAAGCCGACTGATGACGTAATTAGTAGCGGTTCAAACGGCCGAATGTCGTGTTTTAATGTCGCAATGGTGTGAGAGGGCAAACAGTCCTGGAATTTGTTTACATTTTAGCGTGTTTCTCTCGCACACCTTTTCCCATGACGGGGGTCCTATTATTCAACACCTATTTCATAGGACGCAGATGGGCGTTGAGTGATGGGGATCGGCAATTGGCATTCCGATCCATTCCCTCATTGTCACCCCATTATGAGTCCTCCACCTCAGACAAACAACAGGGCGAGGTTTACCTTCACATTCGTGTCCTTGGCGATTCCGCTTTCCACAAGCGGTAGACGCAACCCGCCTTTATCATTCTTCCTCTGATGCTATGGAGACGAAGACGTGAACCCAGGACACCAGATCACACGAGAAAGTATGACTCATCCTTCATAAAGGGGGCTGAAGGGAAGGGAATTGTGTCCGTGAAAAGGGGTTCACTCCCATACAATGACCGTGTTTGTTCGTTCAAGTAGAGCATGCAGAATCCATGCTGGGATCATTTTCTTGGTCTGACCCTACTCTTTCTTGACCCGACACACCCATCCGTCATTGAATCACAAACAGTTCAGTTCATGTTTGTATTGCATAGACTGGAAATAAATGCTGTCTCCCCTCGAGAAGAAGGGGAGAGAGGAGAGAGAGAGAGAGAGAGAAAAAATAGTCTCTTGGAGTTGGTTCCCCCTTCCAGATATTTACATGATAAGGGCACACCTTGGGATGAGAAAAGAAAAAATAATAATTTTTTCGGTTAATGTGTCCTTCGACACCTTGAATCACTCTCTGGGAATATTCCATGAAATACCGCGTAGCAGGGAATAATATTATTATTGGGTGAGAGTGGGAAGATGAGAGAAGGGGAGACGCATGGAAGACACATTGTCTACTCGTGGAGAAACCCCCTGCTGACAGATAAACTCCTCGTACTGTCGGACTTCTGGAGGACATGCATCATCCTGAGAAAAAAATTCTTTCCTTGTAAGTTCTTGTCAGACTTGGAAATTTTCTGTATGTTGCCAGTGCTCTGCTCGTGCCTCGTGTTGTTTTGAAGGCATGTTATTCGATTCTCTCAGACAGATCGAGACGGATTAGATTTGAAAACGCAGCTTAGACATAACTGCTCGCGACAGATGGCACGGCCGTCATAAGCAGAAAGGAAAGGAAAGGAAAAAATTGCGGAAATACGATCGTCGAGGTCAACTGAGGAATTAATCATTACACTGTTCATGCGAATCGTGGCCAGACCCTCATAATTTTTCTTCTTAGACCATAATCCAGGTCGAACCAGAAGCGTGCACGCGTCTTTTCTCAATCGACGGGTCACGAAGTTTCTTGAACTCCTCTCTTTCTTCCATTCCATCCATTTCCCCTCGACGGGGGTCCAAGCGAGGTTAATCGCAGGAACTATGAGAAGAATACTTGATAAGAAGCAGGAGAATTCCTTCAGAATTTTTATCTTCCCTTCGGAAGAAAATTTTTTTCACTCGACGGGGGCTGTCATCATCTGAAGAAAAAAAAGAGTTGTGGGCTGTGGATGCGTGAAGAGCTAATAAGCCATGCCCGGATATGAGCCTCGCTAATTGACTTACAGCTGGAAAGGAGAAAAATTGGCCCGTGTTTCGCCAGATTAGTCTCCCTCTTCTTTGCTAATCTTCTTGTCACGCCCTGACGCTTCACAGCTTCCGCCGTCGCACTCTCGTCACCCTCTATTGCTCTGCATGAATTCCTATTCCTTGTGAAACTAGTAAGAGCTTCACTCGATTCTTTGCAGCTTTTTTTTTTCTCAAAATCAGGTTCACACATGTGGTTCACTTACTCCGTATGCTTCTAAGGTCAGAGCTGTCGGCATTTCTTTGATGTAAGTCGAGCCTTGAAAGACGACATCGGATGCAAAGAATTTTCTAAGGCGGAACATGGTAGCGATAAACACTGGTAATCATCTAATGGACCTTGTTTAGGTTCGACGTCACGACTCAGATCTCCAGCAGAGAAAGAAATGAGATGCCCACTCAAGTGAATCGAAGAGAGAAATGGCCCCTAGCATTTTATCTGTTTGTTTAGATGACACACAGGTAGACGCGACCACCCCAGATTCAAGTAGCCCACAAAGTTTTTAAAGCATAAAAACATAAGATAATTCAAAAGCATGGTGAAGTTAGTGTCCAGGATGAGAGAGCAGATTTGGTCTAATTATGCCGTTCCTTTCACGCGCTTCCAAGACCCCCTGGGTTCCTCTTGAAATCGTTTCCATTGTCAACCAAATGAGGCGAGCCTGCAGGAAGTGATCGATGAGATCTTCAAGTCTCTATCAATTAGCAGTCAGACGTTGTCTTGTCTTGTTTTGTCGTACGTACAGGAGATTTGATCAATCGGAGCATTCATTACGTGATCAACCGAGAGATGCAGGCCACGAGGGACGCCTTTATCTTCGATGTCATCGACGCAGGTAGACATTTTAAAATTATTATGATTGTTGCTAGTATAGTCTCTCATTTCCATTATATTATCCTAAACAAGACCCCTCTGCATTATTTCTGGCGTTTCCTGTCACTTAGTAAACGAGGGGACTTTAGTCTTTTGACATGAACGACTTGTCACGTGGATTCTTTGTCTAAGAGCAGCTCATTTCCAGGCACGAGTGCTCCATGGCATATGGGTTATGACACCAGGTGTGGTCGAAGAAGCCACCTCCAATTTATTTTTCCCTTCTCTCTCGCGTTCACTCGACTGGCGTTTGCTTTCAGGCAGCAATACGCAGCTGAACCAAACCTGTAACCTACGGTGGCCCGTCGTCTCATTTAAATACATCGCCATCAACATCACCGAATCGGATTCACACGTGGACCTGGTTCTGGAAAGACGAGGATATCTGGGGCCGACGTCAACGGCAGGTAAGGAACATTTTCTGAAGTCAGAAGTACTGGCATCGACAAAGCTAGTACCCAGGAGGCAAACCTTTCTATGCATCCAGCGTTGGAAGCGGAAGGGCTGAGAGCAGACCTCGAAGAAGACTTGACTCCAATGAAGAGGGTGCAGGTTTTCTTCGGCCCCGGTGAATCGGAGGCCATCTACCGGATCAAAATCAATGACAATCTCATTCGAGAGGGAATCGAAGACTTCATCGTCCGAATCTCCTGGGTTTCTCAAGCCGTTATCGGACACCCCAACTCTTCCATCGTGTACATCGATGACCCAGAGGACGGTAAGCTCTATTCTCATCATCCCGTTAATGCGTGGTATAAGTGCAGGATCTAGACTTGATGGGGGGTGAAAGCAGGGCGATGTCAGTGAAACAGAAGACATATGCGGGTTTGTCTCGAGATCATGGGTGGTTCCGTCATGATACATGGTCGGAGCAACCCGTTACGACGGGGTAAAGGGACCGTATGCCGCATATGGGGGGGACTTATTGGGGGGCTATAGACGTTTCGCTCCCCCGCCCACGCACTTTTCTCCAACAGACCCTCGTCAGAGATGCGTAAATCAGACGTACAGGTATAACTCATGAACGATGGCCCTCGCGCCTGCATTTCCATTTGGCATTCTCCTAGTCTTGTCTCGTCCTCTCCACGGTGAGAGAGGGAAGAAAACAATGCGTGTAATTATGTTCCGTGTTTAGAATGCGTTTTGGAGTTTTCCGACACGAGTATCGAAGTGGAAGAGGATCAAGAAGAGGCTCTGCTGTGGATTCAAAGATATGGGGACATTTCCAAGCCGGCCGATGTATCGTGCATCACGCAATCTGGTGGGCTTTGATCTATCCTCCCATTTCATATCAAAGAAAGTTATTTTACGATTAACGATCATTACCCTTTACCTTTTATAAATAGGAGGTTCGACGGAAGCGATGGCCCTGTCCGACCTAGATTACGAACCAAGAAACACATCGGATCGAATTCTGTTTATTGAGAATCAAAGAGAGGCCCCATGTCGCGTGGCCATCGTGGATGACGAGAAATATGAAGAAAAGGAGGCTTTTCATGTCACTTTATCCAATTCCTCTGGGTGCAGAATAGGAACGAGGACCACCTCGAAGGTTTTCATCAAGCCGGATCTCCGAGATGGTACCCTGAGACCTATTTATCTTTCTGTGTCTGTGTAAGGCGTGCAGACAGGCTACAGAACAAAGCCCAAGCTTTTGTTTTCCCTTCCCAGTGCCAAGATTTTCCTTCGAAAAGGAGTTGTACGAAGTGGAGGAAGGGATGAGTTCCGTGGAGATCATGGTGAAGAGAGAAGGACCAGACTTGAGTCAAAAGGCACAAGTAGTCGTCATGTCCCAGCCCGCAGTCGAATCAGCCGCAAAAGGTCAGGGAAAAATTTAAGATGTCTTGTCCTGTATAGGTAGATGAAAAATGAAATGTAAAATAATAATAAAAATAAAGAAAAGCCAAACTGAGAAAGAGTGTATATTACCCTTCATTAACAGTTGGAGAGGATTACATCGAAGTGGAAGAGAAGCTGGTGTTCCGGGAGGGAGAGGATCGGCGGAGTGTTACCCTGACTTTGTTAGACGACGCGGGGAGACCGAGTGTTGAAGGAAGGGAAGTCCTTCACCTGGTCCTGAGGAGTCCCTTGGGAGGGCTTCTGGGACGTTTCCCATCAACAACCCTCGCCATTGAAGACACCCGCCAAGACGGTATTAATTCCTTCCTCCTCCTCCGCTATGCACTGTTATTGGACAGAGGGGAGTTTCAAGCCAGGGTGACAATCTTAAAAGAAAGAAGTCATAGGCCGTGTAAAGCTACCGCTGAAGCACGAGAGGTTGCCGAGATGTAATTGATGAAAACCTTTGAGGGTCTCTGTTCTTCATGCAACCATCAAACCCGGCGGAAGATTTCAAACTCATGTTTCAAAAATGCAGATGGAATTCGCGAGTGCTTAGCATGGTTTTTGGCTGTGATTTTTTAAATCTCCCCTATCAAAGCAAAAAATTAAGACGATTCAAGCAAAGAATTCACCTTTCAAAGGCCTCCAAAGGTGTAATGCTCTGCGAATGAGCTTCTCTCTTCCGATTTGGGATTTTGACGCGGAGTTTGCCGTTCTTGTCTTGTAGGACCGTTCTGTGTTTATAGACCGCGATGATCGTCCACGGGAGTCCTCATATCTACTATTATGATCACCTTTTCTGTTCATAAAAAAAAACATTTTGAATGCCAGCGATTCGGAATAGTGACTCAAGAATCTAGTCATTTTCTTCACTTCAGTCCCATTCTCTCGAGAAGTTCAGAGTGAGGTTGTTCAATTCGGGACGAGACTCGAGAAAGATTAGGACGCTTGAGATCTCTGACTTCCGTTCTCTTATTCGAAGCAAGAAATTATGGACTAAGTCTCAGTTTCGCTTTACGAGACATCTAATGCTGGCTGAGTTAAGCTCAAGAGGGCGAGTTTCGCAGTCAGTGACAAGAGTAATACTCTGGAATCTGTACCTGCTTCGCCTTTCTCCTCCGCACCAGCACCTGTGTTCAGCTTCGTAAGCCCTGCATTGAGAGTGGAAGAGGACTCGAGCGAAGTGTCAGCAGTAGTTTTCAGACAAGGGGATTTAAACACGGAAGCCTCAGTCATGTGCTTTTCCATTCCCGGATCAGCCCAGCATCCACTCGATTATCTCCCCGTCCATTCCATCCTCCACTTCCGATCAGGTAAGACGGAACTGTTCAGAAGCTCAATTTAAGATAAAGGCAGAGTGAAACTGGTTTCAAGTTTCCTTTCCGTATCTTTGCAAAGGGGATGTGGAAAAAGTGTGCAATGTTATATTAGTCGACGACCCCATCTACGAAGGGAAGGAAGAATTCCTGTTAGCTCTGAAGTCTCCTAAAGGTGGATCTGTGGGCACCAGGAACACTACCATTCTCACCATCGAGGACCCCGAGGATCGTAAGCAAAAATATAGATGGAATTTTCACAGGGAGCCTCCAATCACTTTCTTTTCGTGTCGTTGAAGGCCGTTTCATACTTTGTAGGCCCTAGAGTGTCGTTTGGAGAGTCGCAATTTCTTGTCGTGGAACCCTTGGAAGAGGAAAAAGAGAGATGGGTAGAAGTGGACATTTTCAGGTCAGGAGATCTGACTCAAGTCCTTCGTGCAAAAGTTCATTCAAAGGATGGAAATGCTCGAGCTGGCTTCGATTATACATCCATTTTTCAAGGTATTCTCAAAGTTAAAATAGTTGCAACAGATCAATCGGATTGCATACTCGCTACTCGAATATCGTTTCTGTTTCTCCATAGAACTGGAATTTTCTCCTGGGCAAAGTCGAAAAACAGTAAAGATCCAGATTTTGAGAGACTCATTGAAAGAAGAGCGAGAGGACTTCAGATTACATCTGGCAAGCGCGAGTCAGGAGTCTGAAGAAGTGACGATTTACATCCAGGTAGGGCGATACCGAGGAGTTCTTCCTCGCGTACGTATCCATGGTATCTAAATTTATTTGCGAATTTCCATAGGATGCGCTGGATCCGGATGAGGTGGCCTTTCCATCTGCTCCACTTCTGGTTTCACTCAAGGATTATGACCTCGTTGGGCACCTTGGAATGGACACCCACGTCCCTCCACCTGGGTATCCCCTCGTCTGCATCACACCCTGTGACCCCCGGCATCCCAATCACCGCCAAACCGGTACATTGTGTTCCCGAGAGGGCATCAATGACTCCTTAACGGAGTTTCGCTGGAAGGTCGGGCATAATGGAGGAAGTCTTCGGGATATCCTGGATCCTTTACCCATCGCAAGGTAGAAGCATCCGACTATTATGCAGGAACATTTTTGAAGGCTCATTTCCTTCGCTATTTTTAGGCCATTTTTTCATCGCTCCGCCTGTCGTTCTTTAGGCGCACTTTGGAGTGGTGACATTCTGGATTTAGTCAGATAGCGATCATTCAGAGAAGCAATACCGATGCTAATGTTAATATACCTTCAAAGGGGGGGGGGGATCCCTTAAGGCCAAAATTTTGCCCGAATAAGTTGGAATATTCAAATGTTTCTAAAAGGAATCTTATTCCCTATAAATACGCAAGTGGCTTCTATTCGCCTCTATTTCGCCAACAGGCCAACCCCAATATCACAAAGACATTGAAGCATTTGAGATATCTATATTGATCAAGATCGAGATCAACATTAGTCCAATATCGGAAAAATAATCCAATTGTTATATTGGGTTACATTGCAAGGAGTTTGGTAGCGATATTTTAGCATATGACGTATATATATAAATAAATCCTTCCACGGCATCTGCCGGTATTGGAGATATGAGGGGGGATGAACCACATCCCAGACCTCATACTCGCCTAATTCTGAAGGACACGGCGAATGATGCTGGCCGTGCCCAAGATTGCTATAGAAAAAACTTTATAGCACGAGACAGAGAATTGATTGAAGTTCCGTGTAGTCAGGTTTGAATTTTTTTTCTTGCATTTTTTTTGTCAATAAAAGGTCTCAAAGAAGAGGACCGTTTTTTTTTTTACCCACCCTGTATATATAAATCCTTCCACGGCACCTGCCGGTATTGGAGATGTGAGGGGATGAACCACATCCCAGACCTCATACTCGCCTAATTCCGAAGCGAAGGATGCTGGCAGTGCCGTGATTGCTGTACGCTGGAGGATATCGAGTGAGATTTCACACTCCAGCTTCCTGACATGTCCCTTGAGGTCTTTCAGGACGACGCCAGTTGTGCCTATGATGATCGGAACGATGGTGGTCTTCATTCCGCACAACTGTTCTATTTCCACTTTCAGTTCGGAGTATTTCTCTAGCTTCTCCCTGGTCTTCTCTTGGAGGTTATTATCAGCTGGGGATGCTCACATCTACGAGGAGGGCGGTCTTCTTCTTACAGATCGTGAGGTCCGGCCTATTACAGCCTATGGGGCGGTCCGTAATTATGGGCATGTTCCAGAGTACCTTGGTGGAGGAGGGAGTCATAGAGTCAGAGGAGTCATAGGCAAACGCGTAACCAATTATTCCAATAAGAGATACCGTACTACCTCTCTAATTTTGGGAATGTTAGTATCCCGATTTTAACTCGTGGGTGAGTATCTTTTCTCAAGGGCAGAACTCTCTGATATATCTTATCAAATGATGATCTCCGCGACGGAAATAAGGGAATTGAGAAGCGATGATACGTATTATCACGATTCCAAGGAGCCAACATTCACTGCCCATGAAGTCATATAGAAAATCGAAACATCTTCCCTCCATCCTTCAGGCCAGAGTTTTCTGGACTGGGTTACCTTTTAAAACCGATTTGTTGAAGAATTCAAAAGTATTCCTCTGTGGTGTCTGTGGGGGAAAAGATCAGGCACCGCAAGGACGATTGGAGACAATATCCAGCTGTATGGGGTGCTGACTCGCTATAGCGACTACTTTGGCGGCATCTTGCGTCAGTTGTGTGAACCTTTGTTTCTAGCCACTGTCAGATGGATAGCACAGTTATGTGCAAGAAACAACCCTCTTTAACGTTCAAGAACGTCATGTAAAGGTGATCAAACGACACCTTAATTGAGCGTTCAAGAGCTGGTCATCCCGGAAACTAGAACGTCAAAGAACCTCTTTGAGTCGGGGTTGAGCGTCCTCCTGAACGTTCATGTGTTACTTGGGCAGGGGTTACCACTTCTCCAGAATTAGCTACTGCCTCCAGACCTTGAAATGAAATGTAAAATTTACAGAAATTTTAAACATTTTACAGTTGCCCCCCGATTTCCCACCTATGAAACCCTGGCTATGGGGCTGCAGCAAGCCTTCAAACGTGACAAAATACAAGACAAATTTTCCTAGATGGCTAAAGCTAATATCTTTGCCGATGAAAAGTGGTCGAGGACACCATTCAGTAGAAGTACAAGGTGTCCCGCGCAAAGGTGTACCCGTTAATACATATTGAGCATGAAACCGCAGGGCACACAGCCGAAAACTCACATCACGAGAAGACTTTGGAGAACGAATAATCAGTAAGGTATGTCACCAGGATCACCAGGCCTAAGCAGCTCTGACATTTATTTGCAGGAGACTTTGAAAACGAAGGCTTACAAAGGCTTACATAAATAATCCGCGAACACGCCAACAACTGAAAACAAACATTTCCAACCCCACAATCGAAGTGACGATTAAGCACATTGCAATGCCAGACGAGCATTGAGGCTGGGGGACAGCACTTCCAACACTTAATATTAACGCCGCGCACAACAATTGCCCGGGGGGAATGTGCTTGTGTGTTAATGGGTACTCCTTTGCGTGAAACACCCTGTAATGTTTTGTACCGAAGCTTCGCTCATTTTAAATATAAGTTTTCCCTTTCAAATTTGTCATCGTCCGTTTCGATTTCGGCCGCATTGGGGAATCTCCTGTTTTGATGAGAGCGTGGTACGCAGGGAATGCATGAAGGAAGCGCATGTGCCCGTATTACGAGTTGGACCCAGTCAACAATGTTTCATCGGGCCATCGATGGCTTTTCGTCGACATGGCCTTAGTTGGGCCATCACTGGCATATGGCTGGCTTACGGTTGCTTTAAGCCGACTTATGATCGGGCATGTGCTGTTGCCCTTCATTGGGCCAACTTTGGCTCATTGTTGGGAAACCGCACATGCCCCAACCATAAGCTGGCTTTTCACAATGGATAGGAAAAAAAAACCCACATAAATTGCAACTACAGCATTATGCATATTGAAGAGATAAGAATACATCCTTTGGCCCTCTACTGCATCTTCACCTGGGAGCGATGAAGGAGCGGTACTCTACCAGAGTACCTTACACAGGTACAGTCCTATCGCCTATAAGCTGAGTATATCCCAAGCAATATCACTTCTGGATACTAAGGCATCGCGGAGCGGAATCACATAGGAATCGCAAGGGTATCTCTCCTCCCGCAGAGGCTTGGCACGCCTTCCAGATAAGACTTTTCAATATCTTAGGTAGAGAAAAAGAGGTCGCGTAAGCTTATCGTGTAAAGTAGAAGGATCCTCCCACGGCCGGAATTTCCTGGTTTCTTTCAAGGCTAGGTTACATCTTCAGAGAAATGTTTCAAGGAATTCAATTGTCTTCCTCTGAGATCTATGTGAGAAACCATAGGGAACTGTGTCAAAAGGACAGGGGACTAATTTCAGTAGAATCCGGAAGGTGACTCCCTACTACGACCACTTTGGCTCCATCTCACGCCGGTTTTCAGAACCTTCCCTGCCACATTAGCTCATCCTCGGCGAGTGATTGGCCGGCTAATCATTCGCCGAATATGAGTCAACTTCCCCAGCTATGGCCCGACGATAAACCAAAGAAAAAATTTGAGTGGGGATTATGGAAATGGAGCGCGTCATCTACATATCACATGCTCTGTCCTTTATCGGCAACACTGAACAGAATTTTCAGTCTTTCGTGGAAGGCTGTATGAAAAACTGGTCTGCCAGGGGAAAAAAATTAGCTTTCATGATTCGGAAGGGAAAAAGTACGTGGACCAGTTTTCCCCTTTCGAACCTATTTTGCTGATAGGCCGATTTACATTTCAACTATTCAATTATTTCCGTATGGTGAAAACGATTCTGGATATAAAAATTATTCCAGTTGTCAGTACGTGGGTTGTCAGGAAAGTTCTCTGTATTGATTTTTAATGGGGATCATATGGGGAATAATTCTTCGCAGGTCTGTATGGTAGCCTGGGAGCGAACGAATTAGAACAAAAGATAACCTGACATTTAGCGCCGGTAACTACCAGAACCTGGATGGTCACATGTTCCGCTGCTTCTGCTTTTCTTTGCCTCATTTCTTCATTCTTAAAGAGTCTCTTCAAAAATACTCCGCCGAATTACTATCACATGTCTTCATGAAAACACATCGAGTATCCGAGTTTTCAAGTTCATGGCGTAGCAGCCAACATAAATGACTACATTTTTTGTATTAGGATTCATTTGACCCAGAACGGTAGTTACAGGGTTAAAATGATGGCTTCACAACACGTAGATGCTAACCGGGATGGACAGTGGCAGATTGCTGTTGAATTGATTCCTTCAACACGAGCGAAAGAACACCTGTTCTTCACAATCTAGTGTTGAAAGTCGAAAGAAAATAAAATTGAAATAGAAGATATTGACTAAGTCACCGTTCGAATGTGCGGGTGGATTTTTGAACAGAGAACTATCCGATAATGCAGCTTTATTTCTGAGAAAATGCATTATAAATCCGGTAAATAAAGCAGCATTATCGGATAGTACTCTGTTCAAAAATCCACCCTGCTATTTGAAAAGGAAAGAAGCAGGTTACTGCTGTCTTTGTAAAAGTCAGTATTCGGACATTCATGGACGTAAGCATTGTTTTCAGTTGGGAACAGCTGGGCTGAGCTTTACTGCCAAAGTGACTAAGATAATACATTTAACTATTTTATTCGGGTGGCTGCTTCAGAGTATTTATTCTAAATATGTAACAATCTGAAATAGGACTCTTTTGAGCCCTTAGTGACTTTTTCCTGGCATTCGTAGGAGGATAGGGATAACTTAACATCTACTGAGATTTCGTGAATACCTTTAGGAGGTTAGATGCCTTCATGATAAAATAAATAAAAGGGAGCAATAAATATTAGTGAATGAGCATCGGGTGGAGTAGTGGGGTGACCAGGCCTAGATACGCTTCCCCTGAAAAAAAATAACTATCATTAGGAGGGTAGGCCTATCCTAGGGTAAGGAACGCTCGACCTTAAGGGATGTGCACGATGGGCAGAACTGCCTCTTCATATTCATAAATCCTGAATCTGAATCTTGAGATTAAAAGAAATAATGGTGACATGCACCGGATCCGTTTAAGCTAAACTAATCTGATTTCACAATGATCCCCTATGGGAATTAGTTTAACAGAGATAAACGTATTCCCATAGACGCCCATTATGAAAACGAATCAGTTTAAAGTTAAACCAATCTGGTGCATGTCACCCAATATGATTTGCAAAGAATTTAGCTGATTGATACAGCTGGTGTCCCAACTCACGATCCGTTACCCACCTTATGCTGTAAAAATTTAATGTTCCTGACTTTGAAGTTAAAGCTGGAATTGATTCACCGATAGAGTGGACCTGGTGACCCTAGACAGCGTTTATTTCGAGAATGAGAGCCGTGTGCAGTGCCTGGCTCGTGCCGTCGACATGAAGGGTCGGAAGGGAAGAGAAATGGCTTCTGAGGTCCTCACCATAAAGTCATCTGGACGAGAGAAACGCTTCTGTCCGGGTGACACCCCTCAACCTTTCACCACTCGCATCACCTATTTGACAGGTTAATCTTACTCCATTCATACACCCTTTTAAAAGCATACCGCCGTAGCCGTAGCCTTTTCATGGGAGAGAAGTTCGTTATGCACGTTTCTTCTTCTCCCTTCCAACTCGCTAATTGGGTACGACACTGCGCCTCACGAACGGCCTGCCATGACCAGCGCAAAACACGTGTCCAATCGTATGTATCAATATCCAGGTGCCGAGAAGAGGGAAGTACCTTCAAATTTGGTTCTGGAGTTATTAATCCCACACCTCGATGGAATGATTCCCCGCATCCAGAATAAGGATGATCCCTGTCTGCAATGGGTAATCACGCTTGGCTTCTCCTTTTCCACTACCATTGGAAGAATAAATGATTTACTGTATATGACGCCAGGCGGAATCAGAGAACAGGACCGTTGAAGGTGAACCTTACCAGTTTGATTGGAGAATTCGAGGAACGGAAACGGTTAATTTCTATCGGCACCTGGACTTGGAGAAATGCCTTTGGCGATTCTATTGGTTCATTCATGTCTCCTACACCTCTGAATGCCATCTTCACTTTCTCGAGAATGAGGTATTTCTTGTCCCAACTCAATTGCAAGATCATATATTGAATTTCGAAAGTCATGTTCCTTTCTTACGTTTTAGAATTATAATGAAATCGTGAAACCGGTGAATGTGAGTTGCACATTTCCATCCAAAGTGGATTCTCCTGCGTACAACTTCTCGCAAAATGCCAAGTGAGGAAAAAATACCTCTTTATTCATTTTTCCTTAAAGTGCGTCTTGTATTGACACGCCATGAATGAGCGGAACATTAGGCTTAGGACTGCCCATAGCGCCCTACTGTGAACTGTTCAATCATGCTGTCTTTCCCTTCTCTCTTGTTCTCAATTTATTTCGATTTGCTTTTTCCATGCGTGATGCTGTTCTTTCATGGGCTTCACAGGATGAAGTTTTCCCTCTCTCCTCGTTCCTCGAGGGTTAAGAGCGGGGCAAGGAAGGGGAAAATACTAGGTGGAGAACTGGAAGTACTCAAGACGCATGTGCAGGATACAGGACAGGTTCAAATCCACTTTCGTACTCTTCCCCTCTTTGACGGCATCTTCGTGCTACAACATCCGAACAGCAGGTACATTGTCACTAAGCAGTTCATGATGAATTTTTAAGCCCAAGAATCCAAGGTTTTCGGAGCATCATGTTTCATTTCCACGCACTTAGGCATAATTCACATGTGATAGCAATGGACAGCGAGAAGTACCTGGAGCTCTCTCTCCTGAAGACAGAGCCTCCGCACCAATACTGGCGATTTACGGCACCATCGTTCGTAAGTGAGAAATTGCCTTCCTCATGACAACTTGTGGAATTAAATCAACTTCTGCGTCTGTTTGCTCGCAGCTAGAATCAGGCAGTGGCGAGTATCAGGTTCACTTGATTCCCTGCTTGAAAAAAGGGGAGGAAGGGAAAGGGGAAGAAGTATGCAGGCCCAAGAATCCCATCCAGTTACCGATAGAACTTCGACCGATTCCTTTATCAAATCAAGTACCCGATCGATATGGGTTGGGAACTTCCTTGCGAATCGTGCGTGATCTTAGTCGATGGTATACCGACAAAGATCCACCTGAGCTTCCCCAAGGTTTTCTTCATGAATCATTTGCTGTAACAAATTGTGATAATGCTTTCAAAAGAGTAACAGGAACATTGCTCTTAGGAGGAGAAGTTTATGGTCTGGTCATCCCGACGGAAAGAGAGAAAAGGCACCGGAACTCCTCTCATACGCTCCAGGTGGAAAAGTGTTTCCTGTGTCATGGGAAGGATAACTCCTTCCCAGTCTTTGACCCCAGCAAGGATCTCTTCGGCTGCCTTCTTCCATACCCTCATATTCAACGCTTCATTATCTTTGTAAGAAATTGAAACTCTCAAATATTCAACCATGAGAAGAAAAAAAAATCACTACAGAAAATATCACTTTCCTACAGGATAGAATGCATCCGGTGGATTCCCAATTTTTCAAAGCGAGGGAAATACATGAGAATGAAACCTTGCAAGGGTCATTCCCCTCAAATATATCTGGCATTTCCCTGAAGAGAGCACATCACCATCATCTGGTATCTACAATTTGTAACTGATGAACTCCCCCTCATTGCATTATAGTCTAATACACTTAATATCTTTCATGCAGGATGCAGAAAATGGAGGCGACTTGTGGTTCCTACAATGTGTTTTTTCCAAAGCAAGATCTCAAAAAGACTTTGCATCCCTCAATGAGGTGAACATGGTTTCCCATCTAGGAAACTCTGGTCTTGGGACTTCAATGGGAATGCTCATTTTCACGGACAGACAGACAGAGACTCAAGAGCCAGTTGAAATTTCTCATCTCTCATCTTCACCTGTGGTGTTTATTGTCATTGCAAGTGCGATATGCTTGCTTCTAGTCATTGCTATTGCCTCAAGCATTGCTTATTGTGCCTCCAAAAGCAAAGAGGACCTTAGTGTGGCACCAGTGACAGTAACTGTGGCAACGCCCTTTGGGAACTCCAGAGTTGATGCAACATCATTCCCACAAATGTATGCTGAAGCAGCTGAAGTCTGACTTCATGTCTACATGTGATCCAACCGCAACACTTATGGCATAATGCAGTTGGCTTATAGATCTTAGAAATACATGGGGATTCCATCATCCATCAAGGTATACATGGGTCCTTCTCATTTACCATGAAAGCAATCTTGTTCTGCAATGAGGTACTAGTCAAAGGTTGTAACCTTTATTGTCTGTGTGACACCACATCATCATCAGCTTTACATCACAAAAGTGCATAGCACAGTACATATCATCACAGCTGCAACAATGTGAATAGTTCTTGAGGGTAGAAACAACTTTTTAAGCATTAATTCATGAAAATCCTGAGGCTGATAGGAATAAAAAGCAAAACGAAGAAAACTGGAGAGTGAAAGCACTGCCATCAAACTAAAGAAAGGGCATAACTGGTTTCATTAAAGCATGTCTCTTATACTTGTTATGCAATGAAAAGAGAAATGAATGTTATCAAACATTAAGGAGGCTTATAGCTCTCCTTGATGCACGCCTGCATACAGGACAAGTTGACTGCCTGCGTAGCCATCCCTCAATGCAGTCTCGACCAAAGACATGACCACACTCCAGCACACTTTTTGAATGATGAACATTGTAAGTTCCAAGGCAGATCACACATCTCAGGGTGTCCTTTCCTGAAATTGAATGAATCTGTATTAGTGCTATGGCATACCTCACCAATATCAGGAGGTATGCCCATACACTAACAGACAGCCATCAAGGATAACCTAGACCAGGGTAGGTTCTATGTACATCAAGACAATAAAGAGATGTTCCAAATCCAGATGTCCCAAAAGCATTGTTCTGGGAGAGCCTTGGGCTGATTTTAATCAAATTCCAGCAGATAATGCTGGACATTATGGGAGATGTACAGAGTGTCAAAAAACCTGAATTCCACCCTCCACAGAGAAATCCAAAGGTATTACACTGAAATCCTCAACATTTTTTTATTCTCCAAGAAATATTACATCAAGATCCTAAGTTTCATTAATTTGTATGACCACCTACAGCTTGAATAACAGCTTTACATATAGATGGGCAGTATAGAGAAATGAGCAATCATTGGAAAGTTCATTGGGAGTTCTTTCTAAGTGTTACAAGAGAATGAAGATGTCTCCAAGGTTTTGCCTTGATTCTCTGGCACTGAGAACATTAGGCCTTAGTGTGCTTCTATGGATGTTTGTCAATTTCCAGGTGCATGCTTTCAGACAATATCCCTTAATTGCTAATACTTACCACCAAAAAAAGGTGCAATACCATGGAGCTGAACAGTATTTGCAAAATTTGATACAGGAACTTGTAACAGTATGTCATTAAACCTATTAGATCTTCAAGGGAATGGCATGATTCTTCTCAAAAGTAATTAGCCAAACACCTTAGTGTGAAGGTGTTTACACTAAGGGTAGAGGGTTCTACGAATTTCTTGAAATTAACACCCAGGAGGAACTTCATTCATGAAATAGGGAACAGGAAGTCCTAATGATGTGTAGAGAAATTATGAAACTTCTCATCACAAGATGAAGCAATACAAAGAAAACTTGATCACTTCAGATAAGAGATAAAGGGGATGCTCCATGTCACATTACCACATCACAGCATTAGGAATTTCTGTTATACATTTCAATGAATAAATGGCTATTTATGTGTATTTGTATGTTATTTTATCTTACATCAACTACTTTTCAACAAAGTTGCCAAATTTTTAAAGCACTTTTATTATTTTGCAAGCTCTGATAGTTTTGTGTAAAAAAAAAGGGAACCTTATTATTTGATATGCCCTTGTAAAATAAGCTTATTGACTAATCACAAGCAAAGTAACAGATGGCAGGTTGGAGTATGAGTGGCATGGTAGCATCCTGTGCAGCGCAAAGAATGCTGTCATTCTTCTCTATGGATGACCCTGGGATGGTTAGGCGAGGCTTCGAGTTGATAACAAAGTGAATGTACTTGCCACATAAGCCTCAGAGATGAGTCTTGAGTGACATGTCATATCAATGCAGCCTTGTCCGGTTTAAACCAATGCCAAGCTTCATTTGCCTTCATATAATCAGTCTCGGATGGGTAACTCTTTCCCCTGCCAATTGTCAGTTGTGAGGAGTTCATGCCTCACACACTTCTCTCAATCTTCTGGACCCTTGGAGGTTTCTGTATCATCTTCTTCCTCAACCTGGCTATGGCCTGAATGTTCTGTAAGTCACTTCCCATTTAAACTCTCTACTCTCTCCACAACAACTAGTATCTAACTCATTTAACCACCCTACCCTGATTGACATTTGCCTCCAACTTAGCATCACATACAGTGCTTTAGCAACGTCTAAGTACACAATGCTGAAACAGTTCCCTGACTCATCATATACATCACTCAATCATAAAATCATAGCAAATTGGTAAGCTGATTACATCATCTACCAATGACATTCAGAGATTCCTGAATGGACAATTCCCCTTGAGAAATTATCAGATATGATCCCTTGCAAGTATCAAGTTACTTTTTTTTCATTGAGCTTTGTCCATCTTCTGCATCATTTTGCACAGACTTAGATCTGCCAATGTACACTCTGTCCAAAAAATTTTGTTTGGAATATTTTTCAATGTTTAGCTACTCATAATTGGTTCAGGCTATCACTGTGTGCCTTTGTGGGCTATCTAATACATTAAATGAGCACATGCATACAATATTGTAACAATATCCATTCACTGGTTCTTGAAATACAGGAGGTAATTTAGAGTGTGACAGCAGTAAGGGAGTGCAGCCAGAAATATACAGACATATGCCCTCAAAATTCAGTCTTGTGCCTCATACAGGATGGCTGACATGATGCACACAACCAAGATAACTACATTAATCTTACCTATTTTGACATTTAGATGAAGAGCTCAAAGTGCCTGCCATCATTCTGTGAACAGGCATATGACATATGGCATATGACATTCACATGCTGCAAGGTTCACACTCTCCTGTTATGGGGGAATGGTGAGTTCTCTCTCTGGCTGGCTGTGCTTGTGTTGAGTGCAGCTGGCAGCAATGGTCTGCTGCAAACTCACTTAGAATAAGCTGCTGCATCTCCAAAACGAATCAATGGATTTTGACATTGCCTTGCATAAATGTGCTCATTTGATGTTTTAGTCAACCTTCAAAAGTGCACAGAGATAGTCTGAACCAATTATGAGAAGCTAAAAATTGAAAAATTTTCCAAAATTGTTTGGGACAGAGTGTGTTTTGATGAGCATGCAACTTTATTTCAATTATGTCAGACTTTTTTTTATATTGCTACAACACTCATGCATGTATGTCAGAGTCAATTGAAAAAATGTATGACTTAAGTAAGAAGCCATGTAAACGCCTTTCTCTGTAAGGACCAGGTAAATAGGACAGACATAAAGAAAGTTAAATACCAATAGCTCACAATACAAGTAATGTTACAAAAAAAAAGCAATGAAACACAAACCATGGTTGCTGGCATAGGAGTTGAGTTCATTACCACAGAGCCTTGCCCAAGTGGCTTCAATGAACTGGGGGAGCCAAGAAGGGAAATTTAACCATTAAGTTAAGCACATACACTAATTCATGGACAAACAGATATCCATGCCTGAATGTATCAAATACATAGGTATTTGGTTGGACAATAGACTCAGATGGAAAGAGCACATTAAAAATGTAGTGGGAATAATCACTCTGTCATAGTATTATGAATAAAGTCAGAGATAATCTGCCAAAATGACAATTATGGATTGAGTATTTTGCAATAGTGCATGCACGAATCAACCACTCTAGGGGTGGTGAAAACCCACACCCATAAAATCCAAACAGGAATAAACTAAATTATGAGAATTATGAACCATCTTTACTTCAGAGAAGGAACCAATTGCTATTTCAAACTATGGGATATACTTTCATTAGAATAAATTATTTAAATGTCATTGTGCACCAGGCATATCAAGAGCTGAAGAGGGGCAACATCAAATCTAAATTAGCCTATGAGATGAGCATGACTATAGAACACGGTATTCAAGTTATTCCTCTTTCCCCATCTTCTTCATGCTTTAGACTTACTATACTACTCCAATTCTGCACTTAGTCTATCAGAGTGTTGTACTTTTTTCTGCATTGAATTTAGAAAAAGGAATTAATTAAGCAATTCATTGAATATTCAACTAAAGCATAAATTGCCACTTTCTATCATGTACCAAGATTGAAAGGCTTATCAGTAGGCTTAATAGTATTGTATTAGAGAGTTACACTTAGGCATACTTAACCTAACTGGTGATCTAGCCCACCGTCATCAGTTGTTGTAGATTGCATGCCTGCCCTCCTCCTGGTGGTTTCATTGCTATGGAGCTGTCCTTGACTTTCAATTGATGTAGTGGGAGGACTCAGTGACCTCCTCCTCTGCTGCCTTGAAGAAGAGTGTTCTTCACTTCGGGTTGCAAAATACGCCAGTACAGCTCCAATAATCACTCCAACACCAAGGGGGATGAGCAAAGTCAGTGGATTTGCAAGGGGCATTTTGAAGAAAAGACACGCCCCGACAATAGGAAGTTCAAGTCATTGTGAAAACTTTTCTGTTTCTGAAGCAAAAGAATCTGGGAAAAGCCAAAAATGATAGGTGTGATGAAAAAAAAAGCATAGCGACTGGTGTTTATATCTGAAAAACAGAGAAAGCTACTGTTACATGTCCCACCTGATGTTCATCTACATTTTCTCTTGTACTTAAAAAAATTTTTTTCTATATTTTTGTCAGCTGGTTTATCCAAACAAGCACTTGAAAGTTTGCTAGTAAAATATCTGGAAATCTCTGCTTGTCCTCAGAAAATCACTGAAATTGATGAATGAAGGGATGACCTTTTGCTAGGGCAACAGCATTCAGTTGCAGTTTTCATTGAAGAGCAACTCTTTTAACACATTGACTACCAAGTACAAGATATCTCATATTTCCATGTCAGATGCCTAGTACAAGATATCTCTGATTTCTAACATTGCATGATGGAGTACTGGATATTACTAATTGCTTTCATATATATTTTTTAATTTCTGTGACTGAGTAAAAAAATATGAAATATTGGATATTAATTACTTTTTTTTCAAATTTCTGTGACATGTGAATGAAAAAAATGGTGGCAGTTCATGCGTTAAGGAAGTCAATGCATACTTTTGTGTAGAAAACAAGCTCTGATAATGCTGTCCACTGCAGCATGATCAAGACTAACATGACAGTATCTTAATGGGTACTCTTTGGCTGAAAATGCCGAAAAACAATATACATGGAACTTGTAACATGATGAAAGTCATCACTCTGGAATATGCAGCAGCTTTTGACTTTTAGTCCTAACCTTAGACAACCTTTCTTACTTCAGAACGCCAGTTCGGCCACAACTCGGAGGCCGAGCTCTCTTTCTATAAAATATAGGTCTCATCACTGAAGAGAAATTACGAGTTAGGTGGCTTCCAGCTCGTCCCTTAAGTCACGGTCAAGCCAGCTCGGCCAATAGACACTGCCTTCAAAAAAAAGCTGACACAGCTCATAATTCGCCAGGCCTAAGCGCCATGATGGTTTCACTTTTTCAAGGTTAACATATAACTTTTGTCTTCGTAATATCGCCTACTCCCTTTCCTCCCGGTTTTGCTAGTGGGTCAGTACTATACCTAATTCACAAATGCACAGTGGCGTAACTAGGTAATTTGCCCCCCGAGGTGAGTGACTGTTACTGCCGCCCCCATACTCCAGCCCCTCCCCTTGCTAGTTGTTATTTTCACGTGCACACATGTTTTACTGGAGAATGAGATTGATTAAATATTTCTGTTATTCAGGACTGATTCTCAGCACAAATAATGTAATCAAAATCAATTCTTACAACAAAAAAAAGACTGCAATCAAAATTCAGCCCTTCTTGATTTACTGGCTGCAAAATAACTTCGCTGAAATCAATGGAAGAAGCAACTTGATGTTCGATTGACAGGATAGCAAGACTTGTAAGTCTTTCTTGAGACATTGCAGATCGCAGGTATGACTTAATCAGCTTCATTTTGCTGAAAGAGCGTTCACACGATGCAACTGAAACTGACAAGGTCAATAGAATCTGAAGGCAATGTTTTATAGGCCTCCAATCCCATTGATGAGATGTATACGAGCAGCCCCTGTGGAGAGTAGTCCAGTTCTTCTCCTGATTGTTTCGCTCTTTTGAGAGAAGCAGGGATGTCTTCATAGTCCTCGTACAGTTCAGATCCGTTCGAGTCATTTGGATAAAGCGCCAGATCAACACACTTCTTACGAGCCCGGTAAGCTGCTCATCAGTTTCACAGTTCAACTGATTGACAAAAGATTCAGTTGTGCAGAGAAAGCCAAACCGATTCTGTAATTCTCGCGACTGTGAAAATCGATGTGAGATTTCAACTCCAATTTTATCCAGAATTTCCCTAAGGCAACGGCGCGTTTCTTCCTGAAGTGCTCCATCCAGCATCAGATGCACTTTCACCAGGCATGGAACTTTTTTTTTCATACGTCTGTCCACTGAAAATTCATTGCACATATCTTCAGCTTCAGAAATGGCTGTAGTACATAGCTCGTTTTCCCAGACTTCAATTTTGTCGAAGTTCCCACCCACACAGCACAGGGATATCCCAAAGATATCCCAGAGATATCCCCTTGG